TTTATCTGAGATAATTTTTTAAACTTGGATAAAAAGTATCGAACAATTTAATATAGTTATGAAAAGATTTTTTTTTCAAATATTGGACAATTATTATTTATAAATTGAATTTTATTTCGGCCCCGTTTTATTTCTTAAAAAAATATACCAGAAATATAAATTTCTTTGTATAAAAATAAAAATAATCAAATTTGAAAAACAATCGATCTGTCATAACGAATCGCAAGATATCCCATTATTTTCACTAAACGTATATTTTAAATAGGATCATCAAACAAAAATATTAAAATTAATTGTTAATCGAAACGATTCGTTATTCAAATTATTACTTTTTAATAAAGTACATCCAATCGATGCATGCAAATATCGTGCAACTCGAGTCTATGATCGAGACGATGGCAAATATCATTCGAATAATCGACAAATCCAGACGAAATATCCAAGAATCGGTCACGACACTCCTTCAAATACATTTCCTCGAGTTGAGGGGGAGGAGGGGTTAAGCCTCTTTAGAATCGTGAAAAAGCAAACAAGCTCGACTAAGCTCGGATAATCGGATAGAGCCGATGAATATGGAAAAGTAAATCCAACTACCGATTCTTTTTTTTTTTTTTTCCCCTCTTCTCCTCTTCGTTTCTTTTCCTTTTTTTTTTTTTTTTATTTCTCGTAACATCGTTCTCGTTCTTCCTCGATCGAGAGAATGGCTTTCCCGATAAATTCGATGACAAAAAAAGGATCTAATAACGTCGCGTGTTCGAATTTTCCATTAATTGCTCTTAAACGTTTCAGTTATAAAGGGGATAGTTGGTGATGAGTGAAAAAAAAAAAAAAAAAAAGAAGAGGGAGGGAAATTGAATTAGCTCGCGCGTATAAATTTCGATCTGTTAAAGGTGATGGAGGCAAGTGGTCAATTTGCATCCGCATTCTTGATAAAGAGAATCCCATAAAATGAAAGAAAAATATATCTATTAGGACGAAAAATTCATTTGTGTTTTGGATAATTGAACAATGTTTGTTTATATTTGTTAACGAGTTTAAATTAACGATTCGAAAGAATATTCTTGGAATGTTTTAATTCTTATTTTGTGAAGAAATAAAAATGAAGTTATCGATCGAGAAATAAGGTAAAGTTATCGATCGAGAAATAAAATAAAGTTATCGATCGAGAAATAAAATAAAGTTACCGATCGTATTGAAAAGAATAAAAATTATTGATATATGGAATAATTTTATATAAACGTATAATCGGATTAAGAATCGAAGATTCTTCGAAAATTATTTGAAAATTATTTAATCAAGTTATTATTATTCTTATTGTCGTTTAATTTTATAATAATCCGAGTAAATATTGATGTTGAAAAAATAATAAGGATCGGTCAAGGAAGAAGAAAAAACTGTTATAACTTGTAATATACGACGAAAGTTCCCCTTTATACGGTTAAATGTGGTGTCTTTTAAGTGGTACTGCCATTCTGAAGCAATTCAAAAGGCTCGAAAGAAGTAGTACTTACAGAATTTTAACCAGGTTCTAAGCATATTTTATTCACTGCAACATTATCACGTGAGTGGCGCTGCAAAGTACGAAGTTAGAACTTAAAGAGTTAAAGACGACCACTTTAAATCTGAAACATCTAGTAATATTCCAGTCTGGATGTATTACAAGTTTCCTCATTTTGAGGTTATGAATCGAGACATGTTATAAATAATAATTAATTGATATCATAAAATATTCAAAAAGCATTCATGATGTATTTCTAACCTATTTGGAAACTATATAAACAATCTTTTATCTATATTCGTATTTTCTTTTTTAGTTATAACAGTTATAAATGAATATATGGATAGTATAGAATACAAAAAATAGAAAAGTGAATAAAAAAATTACAAGTCATAAAAAAAATTACGTTAATATTATTGGATATTTATATATATATATGTATACGAATAATAATGCGAAGTTAAGTGAAATTTGAATATATCGCATTGAAAATTTAAAGCCGACACCTTTGCCTTGAGAGGTTAAGTCAGGCTGTCACTTCGTGACGTAATAAGGTTTTCTAGCGTGTTGCTGATAGCTTAGAGTCACGTACATTCACGTGTCGCTTTTCGTCGTCTTGGAAACTATTTCCTCTCGAAATATTGTCGAAATTTGTCAGAGTGATCCCTGCTAGTGATCCGTCGAGGTATCGAAGGAAAGCGCGCGAAAATTCAAACGCAGTTTACAGTGACGTTAATAAGAGACATGCTAATATCGGTGATGTAACTATTCTCGAAACATTTCTAAGGCTTTTCTACGTGTCAAATTGTCTTTAAGAGCGAGAAATGTGATTATTTGAATCACAATGTGATTCTTAAGTAATAATCGTTCTTCTTATATCGATTTTATTTAAATAATTCGATCGAGCCTGCGGATAAAAGTATTGCATATATTTGATCGTAATAAATATATTTCAAATTTTTCGATGATTATTATTAATTTTCTGTCGATAATAAAATCAATCATCAACAATTGTCACATTTTAACAATTAACAACGATCCATCTTTCGATCTTTGATTCCATTAAGAATCTAACAAATCAATTTTCATATGGACAGTTTAGCCGACATGGAATTGAATTAGAAGCATGATATTTGCGTGGAATCCAATTAGCATAATCCAATAAGATATTCCAACATCTTTTTCTACGATTCGACTTCGTCTTATACGTTATATATTTCTTTTGACATATTTTGTTATCGTATGATATACGATTTTTTTAATATTATTGATATTTATAGTACAGGAGAAAAATTTTCAATTTTTTTTTCGATATATCTTCTGCTTTTTTTTTTAAGAATTAAAGATTAAATAAGAATCTTTCAAATGGGACCATTTTTTTTTTTTTTTTTTTAAAAAATAAAAATTAAAAAAAAATTTTTTAAATGGGGCCTTTTTTTTTTTTTTTTTAAAAAATAAAAATTAAAAAAAAATCTTTCAAATGGGACCATTTTTTTTTTTTTTTTTTTGCTTTTTGTCTTTTGTTTGTGTCTCTTTGCCATCGTGTATCACGAATTGAAGTTAATTCACTAATAGAAAACACGAGGACGTGAATGAAAGGGGGTAAAGAAAAGATCAGAAACACGACGAGTTCAATCTGATAAAGTAAGACAAAAATGGAAAACTACAAGGGAATAAAATACGTTGCAAAAGTAGAATAATTCAATCTGAAAATGAAAGAAATAAAAGAGATAGGTATCACAAAGGGATGAAAAGTCCATAAAAATCCAAAAGGGTCAATTTAAAAGGGAAAGGTAGAGAAAAGACTGACAAAAAAAAAAAAAAGAAATAAAAATGCAATAAAAGAAAAGACGAAAAAGAAAAATGGTGAAATAATTATATAATTCTGTACAGTTCTAAATTTAACCTTAATTTTAATGCATATATCATAAAAGTCACTTTCCACAATTAATCCTTTTTGTTAGAAAATTAACAAAATTAAAAGTTTAAAGAACAAGTAAGAATTATTGCAGCTTATTAATACAATATTCTAATAATATACATTGAATAACTAAATTTAGAATTTAGATTCGATGGTAATGTAGGCAGCCACCTACGTCAAAACCAAACTACAACATAACCTGAAACTGAATAACTTTCAATTTTCTAAAAAAAAAAACTGCCAAAAAAGTACAATATCAACATTTTCTATCAATTAATACTTTTTTTCTTTTTTTATCAATACAATATATTTTTAATATATACAATTGATGGATGGTTGAAGCTTTAAAGGTTAATTAGAGGAATGACCTTTACCTAACATGTATCAAGGTCGAGATCATCGAGCCGACTTACCTGAGAGAATCTCGAGAAGAGCGAAAGGTCAGACAAGATAAAAAAAAAAAAAAAGAAAAGTCAATTTAAAATGGAAATAAGCTACGACCCTCGATCCCCCTCTTATAATTATACAAAAATGCATTCTCGATCGAATCGTAAGAAATTTCTTTTTTTAAAGAAATGACTCGCGAAGGACGAAGGACAAGAATATTAGTGAAATAAATCAAAAATATCTCAACGCAAATCTCACGTGTAATCTAAGGTGTTAACGTTAATCAAAATAATATATATATAAATAAATATATAAATATATATATTATATATAAATATATAATATAAATAAATAATTAAAATAATATTTTCGAATAATTAACCAAAAATAAAACATATATACAAACAACTATATAACCTCTTTATGTATCATCGTTCACAGATCGAGAAACATTGTATAATAAATTTTAAGAGAAAACTTTATTCAAAGTAAAAGGAAAAATGGAGAGGGGAGGGAGGGAATAGAAAAATTGGAATCGTCAAGGAACGAAAGAGGTGAAAGATGCGCGCGAGCGGGATTCCATTTTCTCTTAAGCTCCATGTCCCTTAGCGAACCAGATAGATGCCTAGGAATTAGACTCGTGAAGCGGCCTTGTTGTTGTTGTGTTGGCAGAGTCGTAGCGGGCGGCAATCCCCGGAGCCTCGCTCGTCGTGGCCGACTGTCCCGGCTTCTGCAGTTCAAGCATAACGGAGGGTATCTGTATCGTTTCCAGAAATTCAAATAAAACGAGATCAGTACAAAAACGAGATACATGCGAAAAAAGAAAAATAGAAAAGAAAAGAAAAAAATAGAAAAATTCGAAAGAAACGGAAATTCGGAGGAAAAGGGAGGGGGGAGCAATAGGGTTTCGAATTTCGAAAAAAAAGAAATCGAGAGAGAGAGAGAGAGAGAGAGAGAGAGAGAGAGAGAGAG